TGAATACAAATTTAAAACCACCTAGAGGTAGAGAAGTGGAGAATGAGGATAAAAAATAAAGACGCATGACAACCAAGTGCAATATGTGGCCCCTGATAGGTCCTTGGATTAAAACAATAACAACAACAAAAATAGCTATAAAGGACATTTTGGGGGCCACTGGGAAATTTGAATATGACTGCATATTTGTGGTTATGTAAAAACAAGTCCTTAGTTTGGGGAGTTAACTGATGAAGTGTTTATAGTATGGTATCTGCAACTTTTATATAACATGTACATGGGGACTTCAAAAGCCTGTGAAGAAATGGAATTAAGTACAAACTCATCTCATTTTGGTGCCAATTTTTTTTTTTTGAAATCTATGCATAGGTTTCTAAAAGTTCTTTTTTCATGAACTTTTCCAGGACCCTTCATTGTACCGTTCTAATCTTCCAGAAGTTGGAAGTCTCTCCAAATAAAAACTGTGAGAAAATGGCTCAAATGTGAGATATGTGCTTTAGGATAGGCCCTCTACCCTATAGTCCCTTTTCTTTGTTTATTCATTCCACAAATTAAGGAGCAGTCTTGTTAGAGTTCAGGTTCATTTCCTCATCCATCCCTTTGTCTCTGGAAACAGTTGGCATCCTCCTATACTTGTGTGACTTGATGTGAAGAACCTCAGGCTGTTCCTGGGTCATCTATACATGATTTGGGCCACTACTCTTGAACACCTGTTTTGGAGTAGCAGCAGCAGTGGCAGCTGACACCTGTTGAGTAGTCAAGCTGTGTCAGGTCCCACACCTGCACCAGCTTGACTGGTGCTCCCATAAGTGCCAATCCCATAGGCAGGACCAGACCCACATGAGCTCACCTTCCTCAGGTGTCTAACTCACCTTGGTTAGATTCTCTCATCGCCCCATTTGACAGATGAAGCTACAAGGCTCACCTTGCTAACACATGGCAGAGCTTGTATTTATAGAAGCCAGGACCTCTTGACTCCAAAGTCTTCATTTCTGACTGCTGTGGGCTGACTGCCACCTGGGGCTATGTTGCAGTTACCTGGGAAACCAATTTAGGATGTGTGTGTGTGTGTGTGTGTGTGTGTATGGCCCACTCCCAGCATTACTGAGCTGTGCAGTGGGGCTTAGACATCTGTGGCAAGGATAGGTTTGACTGGCTGCAGCTTCATTATTGCTCTAAACCGTGGGTAGTTCCATCTGTGGCCTGGCTTCTCACCCATTGCCACGTAGAGAGTAAACCCCTTAACCTCAGGGATTCATTTCAGCTCTTCTTCTCTGCTTACATCATCATGTGTTGGAATTGGTCATGACAGCCTCACAGAGGCAAGTTGGGGCTGTAGGCTAGCTGAATGAATAGATGCACCATCAGCTTTCCCCATACTTGGCTGGTTGTGGACAAGTAGCAAACCCTTAGATGAACATGCCCTGTGGACCTCTGAGGAGGAGGACAGAAGTACAGGGGGAGGAGTAGCTTTCAGTGGTATCTAGAATGCTTCTTTTTTATTTTTTAAAAATAAATCTCAAAGAAATGTACAGGAAATTCAGAATAAGGAAATCTATAAACATAGAATGCAGCTGCTTGGGCTAAGGCATGGAATGATGGAGGTAGCAGGGAATCAACAGTTGGCTTTCTTTCTGAGGTAATAAAAATGTCCCAAAATTGTGGCGAGGGTTGCACATATCTGTGAATGTACTCACTTGAACTCTTTAAATGGCTTAATCATATGTTCTGTGAATTATATATCAGTAATATTATATAACAATATAAGCAAAACTAGAAAGTAGTTATTAAAAAAATAAAGAACTCAACCCCAGAAAGTTACATACTGTATTAGTCCATCTATGAAACTTTCCTGATATGAAAAAGAATTTATAGGAATGAAGGACAGATTTGTGGTTGTCAGTGTTCAACAGCTGGAGTGTGTGTGGGTGCTACAAAAAGGGAAATGAGGAATCCCGTCAGGGGTGGAGACGTCCTGTATCTTGTCTGAGTCAGGGTCAATTTCTTGGCTGTGATAATAGTGGATGAGTTCTGGAAGGTGTTGCCATGGGGGGTACTGGGTAAAGGGCACAGGGGACCTCTATGCTGTTCTTACAGCTTCGTCTAAATCTTCAGTTAACTCAAAAAGTGTAAGGAGGAGGACATAATGCAAATATAGCAAAATGCCAGGTCATCAGAAAAGTCATGATGTATTTTTCTATGCAAAAATGCATGACGACTTTTCTGATGATCCAGGATTGACATCCATTTTATATGGGTCCAGGGTACATGGAAATGTATTATGATTGTTATTTTGTGAATGTTTGACATATTTAGTAAAAATAATACCCTCTGAAGTAATTTTCTCAGCCTTATGTGGATGCAACCTTGTCCAAGCCCACTCCTGGCCCCCTCAGGCTGGTGCATCAGAAGCACAAGTCTGAGGAATTTCGTCAGGGATGGAGGAGGTGCTTAGCTGTGGTGCTGACCCCAGTGAAGAACACGCTTCTGATTTTATTTTATTTTTTTTTATTGCCCTTATTGAATTCAGGAAAACATCTAACACTCTGATTGCTGAGAGTCTCTTATTTTCTTTAGTTTCTACAGTGCTCTACTGAGTTTCCCCAGCATGCTATGGAAGTGAGCGAAATTATAGTCAGTCTTCTGGGTCCATGGACCATGGATTCTCCAAGCATGGCTTCAACCAATCACAGATCAAAAATAGTTGAGGGGAAAAAACCAACAATATAATAAAAATAATACAAACAAAATATGGTGTAACAACTATTTACATAGTACCAAGGGACTTTACAAAGTTCGTGGAAAAATGGAATTAAAGTACATGCTTATTTAGGTGCAATTTTTTTTTTTGAAATCCATGTAATTTTTTCATAAAGTGCATCTTCCATAAACTTCTTGAAGAACTCATTTTTACTTTGTATGAGAAGTAATCCAGTGATGATTTAAAGCATAGGATAATATGCATGTGTTATACACAAATACCATGTCATTTTATATAAGAAACTTGAGAATCCTTGGATTTTGGTATCTGTGGGGAGTTCTGGAACCAGTACCTCCCAAATTCCAAAGGACAGCTGACAGCTATATCTTGACTACAGAAACTACCACAGGGAAGGCTGTTTTCTCACTCGAACCCTTTAATTTTGTGGAGTATTTAAAAAATAGTGGCATACGTACCAGAAATCATTTATTATATTGTTAAAGTACAACGGTACAATACAATCAAAAGGGACTGAGAAATTTAGAATAGTTTAAATGTAAAAATAGAAATGAATGTCCAAAGGTCTAGTTGGATTGGAATACAATTTTAGTAATCATTAAAGACTGAGGTGTTTCCAACCCAGGGTCACTAGGACAGACTTGGCCACAGCAAGTCTATTCACATGGATTCTGAATGACAATCAAAAGATACTCCTTATCTGTGGAGAGATAGGAACAAAATTAATTCACTTTAAAAATTAAGAACATGAATATTTTAGCTAATCTGTTTTTCTCTTCAAAACATCACATAAACCTTTTGTAGACCAATGGCTTCCCTCCCTTTTTGCACTTCAGAATCATCCATTGGACTTTCCAAAAGTACCCACTTCCCAGGTCCCAGGCAAGAGAATGATTTCACGGGTCTAGGGTGGAATCCCAGGAATGGATAATGCTTGTTTTTAAGAATTTTCCAGAGGGTGTGTGCATTAGCTGAAGGAACACACAACACACACACACACACACAGGGGGGGGGGGCTAGAGGATAGGGTAGAGGAGAAGAGAGGGAAAGCAAGGAAGCACTCCCCATAGAGCATGGTCACAGTGCAATCATTTTTCCATCTTTCCTTCCTTTTGGGATTTTGGGCATGCACATGTACCCAATAATTTTCAAGTTGCTGGATCTAGAACCATTAATTGGTCATGTGGGATCCAGCAGCCTTAACCACCATGCCATGGGCTAGCCCCAGGATAATATTTTTAGAGCTCTCCAAGTAACTTAGCACAGTAAGGCTAAGAGCACAGGTGTAGAAAAAGATTTATTAATTTAGCAATTCTGGCTTGACAGATATGCTATAGAGAAGTTTGTTCAAGTCTAGAGTTAGGACCAATAGCCCCACTTTTAAAAGTCATTTAGTAGCACTGTGAATGCAATTCCTTCAAGAACGATGTGTTCTGTGGCTGCTGTCTTCTGGTAGATCAGGTGGATGTGCTTCCCCCACAGGGAGGGTTGAAGACCCTATGGGTCTTGAATGAACTCCCTACTTTATCCCAAGGACTAGGAACGTTTCTCACACTCTCCAGTCTGTGTTCCAAGTTTACTGTAAACAAGACCTACACCTCCTAAATTTTTTGGACTACTCATAATAAACACAAATGGGCAAAATTCAACCTGTTCAAAAGTCAAGTTAATTGCTAATTTCATAAACTTTTCAGGTCGGAATTTTTGGACTCAAACAATTTTATTGAAAAACTGTCTCATATTATATATTAATATCTATATTCCTCACTTTTTGAAACAAAGCTTTTATCCAGTAAAGTAGAAAGATGCTTTAAGTCTGAAATGAAATGCCAAATTACCTGGAGCTACCATAATTTCATGTTTCTTTGATCTGATCCTAAGAAAAGTCAGGTCGTTCTGAGGATCAATATCGCGAACTGTGCTCCTGGCTTTCATTGTCAGCTGATGAAGAAGACCTGCATATTGAACTGTTGTTGAGTTGTCCAAGGTTGTTCGAATCGGAATTCCTGTTACGAAATTTAATTTTCGGTTAACTTTTTTTCTGCATATAAAAGTAGTATGTACATTGAACAACTATTGGAAAACAGTGATAATTATAAAGAAGAAAAATGATAACTGATATTATTCTCTAATAACAATTTTAGGTTATTTCCTTCTAATCTCGAGTTTACATAAATTAAAAAAAAAGTTTTATTTATGATAGAGCAGGTACACACACGAGGGTAAAAGAGGAAGAGAAAAAAATGAGCACCTTCTACAGGGTCTGGTCATGCTGTAATCCCCTTCCTCCACCCTGTCTGATTCTAGGCACTCACACATGTGCCTGGCATGATTCAGGCTGACCAGGCCAGGGATCTGAACCATAGTCACCATGTGGGATCCAGCTTTTCTTGTGCAGTCCTGCTGTGTCCCAGAGCCTAACATAGCCCTTTAAGTATACCTGAGTCAAACCAGAGTTGATGGTTGCTTTTCTTTATTTACAAAAAAAATTATAGTATACAAATTGTTGACAATGTCACTAACATTACTTTTAATCACTGTACACTATTTTATGATTGCATCATAATATAACTAATCCCCTATTGTTTAGTCATTTGATACTTTACATTTTTTTAAATGGCTAATGGTGTGATAAACATTTTTGTGCACAAACTGGGAGCTGTTAATTATTTCAGTACTAAGTTAACATATTTTTATATAAAATACATTCTCCCAAGCATCCTAACATCAAGACATGGCGTTAGTCTTCTTCCCTAAGGCCAGAAGCATAAAGGGACGTCATTGCACATGCAAGGGAGTACTTCAAAAGGAATTTCAAAGACGTCTTCTTAACTACTCGCATAGTTTTTGCAACCTTTAAATGTTAGAAAATGTATGGTAGCAAAGATACGATAGTTCTTCTGTGCATTCCCTGGTTCATTCTGGGTTAACATATTATTAAGTTTGGCTACTTCTGTGCTCTGTTGTTCTATTATACCAGTTTAAGACACAGTCTATTAATTTGAGTGGAAAATTCTAACCAGACAAATATGCAAGTATAATTCAATTCAGTTCAAATCAATCTAGTTCAAGTCAGATTGCCCAACACTCAGCGCCGATTATGAAACCGGTGCTGTGTTTTACATACATTGTGTCTAATCAGAGATAGCCTTCACATTATTTTGAGAACTACCAGATCACTAAGGAATTGCAGAAATTTGATTTGCAAATGTGCTTTTATTTTAGGGGGACATTTGAAGGTGAATTTGAGATTGCTGTCAAATTCCTTAGGCACCTGAATCAAGGCCAATCAGTAAGAGTCTAATGTGGTTCTTGGTTTTCCTGCAGAGGGCTGCTCCCGAAACTACTGAATAAGATTAGTACTTTCAAGAATGGAAAAATATTACAAACTTAAGATTTTAAAAAAGTTTTCATGAAATCCTTAGAGCCCATTAATTTTGACTCTAATTTGACTACTTTCTTTCTTTTTAAGATAACAGCTATTTCTAGAATAGGTCTTGCTAAAAAATATGAGGACAATATTGATAGGGAAACTTATTCAATAATAAGGTATATAAAATTCGTTAATTTTTGTATTATTTGTTGGCCACTTTCTCCCTGGAAGGCAGTCAGTTGTCTTTCAGATCTGATAAAAGGTCACAAAGAATGGATCTTTTAACAAGCAGGAAATGAAAATGTAGCAACCAACCTCTCCATCTTTGAAGAGAACTTTTTGATGAATAGTTTTATTTTGCATCCTAAACAGTGACTACCTACAAAGTCTGCATTGCTCAGTGTCAAAAGAAGAAATATAACCAGAATGAATTATTTAAAATGTAGATGACAAGATTATGAATCAGAAGCTCAGGCCTATTTAGCTAGTCTATTCATGATCCAAGTCAATAAATAAAACAGCTAGCCTTTCTGAATAATAAGTGGGCACTGTGGGAATACTCAGAGTTTTTCATATCCACCATAGACACTTGAAAAAAATCAACAAATATTTACTGAGCTCTAACTTGGTGCAATGTGAGATAATTACTTTTTTAAAAAACAAACAAACAAAAAAAAAAAACCAAGTAATTTTAGCACATGGTTTAAAATTTACCCACTTTCCTTCTGAGGCAACCATCGCCCCCAGTTTCCTAGTTATCCTTCCAGAAAGTCTAGGTCCATTAAAAAATGTGCTTGTATTTGTAGTCTTTATTTTAATGACATTACCTCTATTTTGTAGCTTGATTTTTTTTTTCTTTTAATACACTTGGGAAACTGTTCAATTTAACACACATAAAGGTAAGTCATTCATGTTAGTGTCTGTTGATAGATGTTTTTTCTATTTTTTTTTTTTGGAGAGGTTTTCGCTATAGGGCGCGTGCGCTCGCCAGACAGACAGAGAGAGACATAGAGACAGAAAGCGAGAAATCACCCCCCGGGGGGGTGATCACGCCGCAATCCCTTCTCCTCCATTTTCCTCTCGGGATCTTGGGCACATATGCGCACATGCACCCGGCGTGAGTTTTAAGTCACCGGGTCCGGGACGCAAACCGCGGTTGACTACGTGGGAGTCCAGCGACATAGCCATTACGCTAACTGCTGGTTCCCAATAGATGTTTTTTAATACATTTAACTAATATACCCTCCTGATGGCCATTCAGGGTATCTAGTATTGTACTTCTATAAACAAGGCTACAGAATATATCCTTGTCCATGTCAATTCATATTTGCATCTACCTGTAGGATAAAGTCCTGAAATGGGGCCACTAAAGCAAAGAGTACGTGCATTTTAAAATTCGATGCTGTGAAATTTATGGTGCTACTTTAAAATATGACTCTTTATGATCCTAGGAAGCTGGTACTCATTATTTCAGTTTGTCATCTTCAACTGTACTTTTGTACTTTGGTTGATAGACTGTATTTCAAAATAAAAGGAATTGGCTGGATGGCTGATAAAATCTAATGAAATTCAAATGACAGATTGCTAGAAATGTCAAGAATACTTAAAATTAAGAGCCTATAGAATTTAGGTTTATATACATAATATATGCTACATACAGCTGCCTGTGAGACAAATATATTTATTCACCAGTATCTAGTTCAAGATCAATGTTGTAATGTTGTGAACAGTGAATGGCTTGATGAATGGGAAACCAATGTTAATCAAGAATCTAATCAAAACCTATACCACTCTGCATTGGGCTAAATTAATAAGTCTGCTTTATTGTCATGAATAGGAAGTCTGTATTTCAAAAACCAGAAAATTGACATGGCATATGATGATAATCTAAAAGAATATATACAGTAGGAGTCCTACCTAACCATAAATACAATCTGAAGATATGTTAAAATGACTTGCCTGAAGTTAGTAGGTTAAAAACACTGTGGAAAAGAACATGTAAGCATCATCTTAGTTAAATATTGTCTGCATTAAATTTCTCAGGACTTCTAAAAGCTGCAAAGGTATACTATAATAAATGGCACTTTTATCTACAATTGAGTGGGTTGTTGAAATTGAGTATTTTATTCTATTTACACACTTCATACCACATGCTACTAATAAACAGCCTTATCATATGCTCTGGCTACTGATAATCCGACCATAAAATAGGCCCATTTATATTTTAGGGAAAAAGGTTAATTGGCTTTCAGGTAAAAACTTTGACTATCTAGTAACCTTCAAAGTGCCCTGAATCCTAACAATTTTATCCTAATAGAGGTTAATTAGAAATTAATGGGTACTTAAAATAATATTTTGTTGCCTTTAGATAAGAGAAGTGTTCATTGAGAAACCTTAGGGGACTAAGGTAAAAATCTCTTTTAATCCCACCACTCAGAGATAATCATTCTACCATATCCCCACCTTTTCTTCCTTATTCATTTCAGGTGTATGTGTGCACCTAGCTGTAAGTATGATTAGAAAATGCTGACTACTGCTTGGTTCCCTGCCTTTTCCCACAACACTAAATATTCTTCAATGTTTTAAATAGTATTCATCAAGAAAATACTGCACAGTACATTTTAAAAGCACCCTATGGTTGGGATAGATTTACTTATGTGTGTTGTTTATTTATCGCTATTATATATGAAGTCTTAGTATCTTTGTGCCTACATCTTTGTCACTTTTTAGGATAAATTTCTCATAGTGAAATGAAAGATCCAAGAATGTGGCTAGTTTTCAGATGTCAGATGCATTTCGCTGGGATTATGTACTTTAGATGAAGATCTTCAAAAGGAGTACCATAGATGAATTCCCCTAGCTGTCATGGGCAAATACACTTGTACTGAGCTGTATAGTGTCTCCCCCAAATTCAAATCCACTCTAAACATTAGAAAGTGACCATATTTGGAAATAGTCTTTGTAAATATAATTACTTGAAATGAGGCTACAATGGATTAGGGGGAGTTCTCGTCTGGTAACTGAGATCCTTATAAGAAAAGGAAGGCACAGAGAGGATGAATGCTCTGTGGTGATGGAGGCCAACATTGAAGTGATGCATCTATAAGTTAAGGAGCACCAAGGACAATTGACAACTACCACCGGAAGCTAGGAAGAGGCAAGGAAGGATCCTCCTGTGGAGTCTTCAAAGAGTGCATGTCTCTGCTGATGTCTTGATTTCAACTTCTAGCCTCTAGAACTGAGAGAGAATACATTTCTGTTGCTGTAAGCCATCAGCAGTGTGGTACTGTTACTATTATTGAAGGAAACTGATACACACCTCCCTGAAATCACACAGGAGAGGACCAGCAGATGGCATAATGGCTATATCGCTGGATTCCCATGTAGTTGATAGTGGTTTGAGTCCCGGACCCAGTGGCTTAATCTCATGCCAGGTGTATATGTATGCGTGCCCAAGAGCCCAAGAGGAGAATGGAGGAGAAGGGATTGTGGCGTGGCCATCCCCCCTGGGGGGTGATTTCTCACTTTCTGTCTCTCTGCCTCTCTCTTTCTTTCTGGTGAGTGCACGTGCCCTATAGCAAAAACCCTCTCCCCCCCACCCCCACCAAAAAAAGGAAGTCATATGAAGAGGTGTGGCAGAATATAAGCAGATACCTAGAAATAAAAGCGGTTCAACCTGATTCATGTGCTAGAGTTGGATTGCCTCCTGCAAATACTCTGTGTAGATCCTGACTCACCTTTAAGGATGATCTTAAATCCTCTCCCTGATTACTCAGACTGGGTGAATTTATTATATTCATTATATATGAGGATGTATTCCAAAAGTTATTGGAAAATGCATGCTAGAAAGAAAATTGTGCGTGGATTTCTACATTTGCAAGAAAATAAACTTGTACTTTAATTTCACTTTTCCATGAACTTTTGGAAGTCCCTTCGTGCATATGCATGTGTGTATATGATGTTCCTGTATGTAATTAAAGTATGGGTTTACTTTGGTGCAAATATATATCACTCATTTGGCATTGGGAAATTTTTATTTTAGAAGGCAAATCAAATCTTTCATTTGCATAAATCAATAAAAAAGTCCCTATATTCTGAAAATGATTTAATTACAATTTAATTAAGTGTTGGGTATTATGCTGGACATTTGACCATTATTGCATTTAATGTTTTTGCTATAGGGTACATGTATTCACTGGAGAGATAGACGGTAAGAGGGAAAGTGAGAAAAAATCCTCCCAAGGGGATGGCAAGCCCACAATCCCTTCTCCTCCATTCTCCTGGGATTTTGGGTATGCATGCACATGTGCCCAGAATGAGTTTCAAGATGCAGGGTCTGGGACTCAACCATGGTAGGTCATGTAGGAGTCAAACACCTTTACCACTGTCACCTGCTGGCCCTGATTATTATCCATTCTTAATGATAAGGACTTGAAGTTCAGAGTTTAAATAGACTTTTAGTAGGTAGTTGCTCAAAAAATATTTATTGATGGCTTCTGCCCAGGCACTGAGTTGATAATATGCCAATTCCATGGCTTTCTTACAAATTATGTGAAGTAGTTACTCTGGAATTGCTGGCACCTCTTCCCCTTACAAATGCCTGAATTAGCAATGAAACCAGCAGGAACATTTAAGTGGTTATCACAAGAGCTGAGCATGGAGTGATGAACCCTAGAAGATGCTATGTGGATTCTTAATAAGGATGGTGCAGCAAGAGCAAGCTTCTGGCAAGTCTACAGATTTCATAGACAGAGATGCATTGACCTTTATACAATATCCACCAAGACTATACTATAAATGCTATTAAAATTAACTCTCAATGATTTTTACTAAATGTCACAAGGAAACAATTGCATTTAAAATGAAGATTGAAATTCTATGTGCTTTATAATATTAAAAAAACCAAAAAGGGGCCAGCGGGTGGCATGGTGGTTGAGACCCTGGACTCTCACATGGCTGACCATGGTTCGAGTCCCGGACCTGGTAGCTTGCTTTTTCACTCCCCCTGGTGAGCACATGAGCTCTATAGCAAATAATTCTTTAAAAAACAAAACCAAAAAACTGCCAGCAATGATATTCTATCTTCAATATGTTGATTTTATTGGATTCCTGACATGTTAGAAGATAATTAACCAAAGTTTTAGAAAGTAAGTAATGTATAAAATTTCTTAGGAATATACAGACATTTTTAGAGCTATTATTTATGTTTGTATTTCTACCTCTTAGCAGAGTGCTTGGTATATAATAGCTACTCAATAGAGGTGTGCTAAGTAAATGCGACAGCTAACTATATGATGCGTGCTTTAGATTCCCAGTTTTAAGATGATGGTCTTAAGTCCTGACACAACAAATGGGGTCCTGACTGGCTTCCAGTATCAAGAAGGCAGCCTTCTTGACAGAAGATATATTTACCTTCTGCATTTACAACCATAGTTCCAATAACCCCTTTATGGCTCTGAATCCTCTTTAGGGTTTCCTCCACCTCTGCCTGGAAGAGAGCAAGAAGGCAATGAACTGAAAGGGTCTTTGTGGTCACCCCAAACCTAAAGACAATAATGCTCAGAAAGATCCCCATTCCCCTATTTTCTTAACCTAAGGTACTGAGTGCTATAATCTCAGGTTTTTGAAAGACAGCTTTCAAACTGTCAAGTTCCACAATCAAAACTATGTATGACCCCCTGTCGAAAATCCTCATGAATCTTTTGGCTTAAATACTTTTATAGATAGAAAACGACCTTTCACTCATTGACTGTATTCACATGAAAAATTCCTTTTCTACGACACAGTTCTTTAGATATTTATAGAGCTATACAAGGTGGGTCTCCAAAAAATTTATGGGAAACCCACATTATAAAAAGGGATGTCGGGAACCAGCAGTTAGCGTAATGGCTATGTCGCTGGATTCCCACGTAGTCGACCGCGGTTCGTGTCCCAGACCCGGTGGCTTAAAAAACTCACGCCGGGCGCGTGTGCGTGCGTGCCCAAGATCCTGAGAGGAGAATGGAGGAGAAGGGATTGCGGCGTGACCATCCCCCCTGGGGGGTGATTTCTCGCTTTCTGTCTCTATGTCTCTCTCTGTCTGTCTGGCGAGTGCACGTGCCCTACAGTGAAAATCTCTCAAAAAAAAAAAAAAAAAAAAAGAAAAAAAAAGGGATGTCAATTTAAATTTTTTTTGTATTGAATTTTCTTTTCTTTTCTTTCTTTTTTTTTTTTTTGCCAGAGAGCATGTGTACATGAGAGAGGGGAAGGGAGGGAGGGAGGGAGGGGGGGAGAGAGAGAGGGGGAGGGGGAGAGAGAGAGAGAGAGAGAGAGAATCCTGCAATGGGGCCTGGTCATGCTGACATCCTTTTTCTTTCTTTTCTCTATCCTGTCAAGATCCTGGGCACACACGGGCCTAGTGTATTTTTCCATGTGAGCCAGGACAAACCTCGGTAGGCCACGTGAGCACGTGAGGTCTGGCTCACTCTACATAGGCTATGGGCAGGCCCTTGTACTTTAATTCTATTCTTTTTTTGCTAAGAACTTTCTGAAATCATGTAGCATGGCCTGTGTCTAAACGTGGCCTTCAGTGAGAAAGTTTGTTTCATTAATGTTACCTAACTGGGAATTCAGATGATTTACTTTACAGAAAAGTATTCTATAAAAAAAATGTACACCTGGATTCCAGGATTCTCTTGATAACAATTGCTTGGGTCTTTGGGCAAGCTGAGTATTCAACCATGAATGATTATGCTGAAATGCTCCTGTTATGCTTTAAACTTACCTTTCTGAATGAATCTTAGACATAGATCATGGTATTTTAATGGTTATTTTCCTCATTAAAAAAATGCCAAAATCGAGAATTCTTTCTAAACTTGGATATGGCTCCTGACTGAGCAATCACTGGATACTGTGAATTTAAACAGCATTCAGCAGAGTCTCTTGATGGGGGCTGCTCTATTTTGTATTTCTCCCAGTATCTCACCGGCCAACATTCCGTTACTTTAGCTGAGAGCTTGCTTTTGCACCTACCGGGGACCTCTTCTCCACCACCACAGCAGGTGTTCTCTCAATGCCAGGCACTCATGGACTAGTCATGACTTTTGCTGTTACAAACACCCTCTATCTTATTGACCTAGCAAGTTCTTTAAATGATCCCACTACTAAAAGCTTAAATACATGCAGTTTAGGAGGAAGTTATGCATGGTGTGACTACAAATGGAAACCTGGTAGCATCTGTCAGAAATAACTAAAGACAAACAATAGGAATACTGCACATATTATTAAATTCAAACACAGTGAAGTCTTCTCTTCAGGAGGAAACTGGAAATTACCAGCTGAAAATGCCATTAAGAACCTAATAGTGCCAGAATGCTCCCATCTTTGAGGGACTTTCAGAAATTCAGGGAAAATCGAATTAAAGTAAGAGCTCATTTTGGTGCCCCCCCCAAATAATTAAACTAAAAACTAAATGCATAGTATTTTCCCGACATACATTTTCCGTGCACTTTTGGAAGAACCCCTCATGTAGCCTAAAGACTGAAAAAATCGGGGGTGGGGGGAGATGAACAGTTTTCTCCGTTCTCTGTTAACTGGCATCTCTGGGTCCGTTTACATAGCAACTGAGGTTTGCATCTCACTTTGGGAAACGCTGCAGTCAAGCTGAAGAGTTTCAACAGTAACTTGCTACATTTTTGGTAATCCTTAAGACAAAGTCCACAGCTCCCTAGGACCACCGTCCTCTATTTTTCTCTTTTGCTTTTCTCCCAAACTCCTTTCTCTGCTCTTCCGGCCTTTCTCCTCTCCTCCCATTTCGGGGTCCTCCTAACGCAATCTCCCTCCCACCGCCTACTCCCTTCCATTTCTCCCTGAAAGCTCTGTGCATTCCCCAGTCCCCTCCCGTCTCTCTCCTCTCCCCTGCCCTCCCTTCTTTCCCCTTCTCCCTCTCCTCCTCTGCACCTCCTGCTCTTCTGCCAACTTCTGTAGCTCCCTGGATTTCCATCCTCAGCACCTTTCGCCAGTCAGTCCCTCTCCTTTCTCCACGTCGCTCTCCCCAAGTACCCACCCCCCAACAAACAAGCCCCAACCCGGCTTCTCCCCTCCAGACGACGTCCTCCCCTCCAGGCCCTCCCTCTCTCTCCAAGCAGCTTCTGGAGCACCAGCCATCGCCGCGACCCCGGCAGCCCCGGGGACCCCAGATTTACCATCGCGCGGGCTGCTAGACTCTGGCTTCAGTCCGGCGCCGCCGCCTCCGGGATGTGGACGCTTTCAGCCGTTGCTAAGAGACAAGGGAGGAAGTGAGCTCCCGGAAGCGTCGGGGTCGCGCCTGCGCGCGCGCGGATCGGGCAACGGCCGGGGGCGGCTCTTCCGCCCTGACCTTGGTCCCGAGCCTCCTGGCCGCCGTACGCGGAGGTCGCGACAGCGGCGTCGGAGCTCACCTGGCGCTCGCGTAGTCCTGCGCGGCCGAATGCGCCGACCTACGAGGACCCAGGAGGGAACCTTGATTCCTTCTTCAGGGCACTCACTCGTTTGGGAACTGTTGTTTCATGACCTCCTACGGCGTGCAGTGCAGGCTCCTCTTGGGGCCCGGAATAATAGCCACCTGTGAGACGAATTCTGCTGGAAATGAACTGGATGGGTCCATCCCTCTCCAGGGTTGGGCTGCTTTAGGTGTCTGGCAGTAGACGCAGCTACCTCGTGCACGTCCTCTAGCACTGCCCTGTGCGACAGTGATACATTTGCATCCTCCCGCCCACATGTACTTTATATTAAAGAAAAATACAAAGTATTACAACCATGTGCATGCATTCGATTAATTTATATCTGCACAACCTCTGCTAGGTAGAGTAAGTGCCATGGCACTTCTGGTCTTCCACCTAGCTGCAGCACCCTCCTCTCAACTCAGCTGGAGAGTTGGTACTTCTAGTATTTTTGTTTAATTAATCGTTTTTTTCTGCCTTTTTTTTTTTGTCAACAGTTTTGAGTTGCTAAAAAATTGCAACTAATAGTGCTTGAGATTCTACAAATTACATTCCACTGGGTATTTAAGCAGCTGATGAAAGAAATAGAAGTTGAAGATCAATTAGGGATGGTCAGAAGTCACTTGATTTTTTTGAAGAGTATTAATAATATCTTGTAGGCTGGGAGGAAGAGATCAATTATTGTGTGAATCACAGAAAGAAGTCATATTGCGACTTCCTGGGGTTTGAAGAGGACAAACATTGATTACTAAATACAACTTGTAAGCTGGAAATGCATTTCCTGGGCACCATGCTGTCTTGACTAAGAGCTTGTACTCCTGTCTCCTGAAAGCAGTTCCTTACTCAACAAGGCACACTAATTTTTAGGGATGCCAAGAAGAATCTGAATCTTCCCTCGTTAGGGATGGTCTGGAAAAATTTTGAACTCACTGGTGGTTTTGGACTAGATGATCCATTTCAACTCTGGTTCTGTCATTTTGTGATAATTTAGGTACAGAAACACACAAACTCTAGTTCTGTTTCAGCTTTTGTTGGAGGATGGGATTTTTCTGGTCATTGTTATTCTCTCCTTTTTTCCTCCAAGAATTAGTACTTCTCAAAAGGCCAGGTCACAGTAGCCAACTAGTCCCCTCACTTGGCACTCAGCACTGGGACTTCATCTGAGAGGCTTTGGAAAGGACAACTATGGTTGTAAGGAGGGGGCTGAGGGGTGTGTGGGTACAGATCTGACTCTCAACTAATTGATTATATCTACCATTTTGCTGTAATAAAAATATAGGTCTTTCTAGTAACAGTGACTGAATTGCATGGAGACTGATTTTTGGCTTTCTGGGTGCTTCTAATCAAGGGCATGCCTTTTAGAATGTGCAGCCATTTGTTTTTATAAAAGTCGTGGCAGTGCACCATATCTGCTATATCAATCAGCTTTAAGGAAAGAACTGGCTGTATTTGCATGGGGTGTGAATTCCCTCATTTCTGGAGGCAGGGTGTCAAACTCACTCAATAGCTGACAGCTGTGATTAGAGCAAAGCAAGACTCCAGCATGAAAGGCTCTGACAGGGAAACCTAACTGCGGAAAAAGAAATACGGAGTGGCCAGACAGACTTCCAACCAACAGTCAGGTTTGACTCACTGTGCACAGGAAATCAATGAGGAGAATATGAGCCATTTTCTCCATATCGATTTTTTACTTCTAATTATTCCTTGGAGGTAGCTTGGTTTAATTTTTATGCCTTTTTGGGGGACTCTATTGAATATCCAGAGTGTGCTCTGTAAGGTGTCTCGACAATGTCTGACACGTTCCCTACCTCATCCCCCACACATGTGAATCCTCCTTTCATCCTTGCTGACCTCTCCAATCTCCTTGCTCTTTCTTCTGACTCACAAAAAGCTTTGAGCATAAGGGAAAGGATTAACAAGTACTACTTTTTGCAACTACTCTACTGTAACCCCAAAATGGTGGTAAATGCAGAGACAGAGTCTTCTGTTCCTTCCCTAAAATTTTGTCAAAATGAGATGATTATCTTTTGGGTATTTCTTTAGTTCTTTGATTATTTGTTACTGCTCTCTGGTTAGCCTGGAGAAATCTAGGTAACTTCATAATCTTGAGTTTTCTTTAGAAATTTCCCATATCACTACATACAGTGATCTTTGGCATTCATGCTATTTGACAAATACTATAAACTGGGCCTTGTAATAAAATGTGCCCATTTTCTCTTAACAGAAGACATTGTTTGCTAATGGAAGCCAAAGTTACACTAATAATCTATTGGTTTTCCTCCAAAAAGTAGACCCCAGGTTCTTCTAAAATGCCTCCTAATACTAAAACTGAATTAGAGGATGTTAATGCTATCAATAAATATTCCATGTAACTGACCAATGCCATGGAATTACAGAATTATAGATTGAGAGTTTCATATCAACCATTTGCTACTTTTTATTTGGACAAAGACACCCTCTGAGGTAATTCTCTTAGGACCCAAGAGTAACATAAGCATTTACCTCCCATAAGGGGATTTCTCTGTTGGAGTTAAGTGGTTTCCTAGAGCATAGGGTTTAGAGTTGCATGCAACTATGGTTGACATTTCTAGGTGAGCTCCCTTGAAAAATGAACCTGGAGTGTGTGAATGCCCAAAATCCCAAGAGGAGAATGGAGGAGAAGGGATCGAGACATGGTCATGCTCCCTCGGGGGTTTTCTTTCTCTTTCTCCATCTCCCTCCAGTGAGCACATGTGCCCTATGGCAAAATTAAACAACAACAACAACAACAAAAGGCTTTCAGAGCTTCAGTTTCCTCATTTAGTAAGTAATAAATAGTAATAATAATAATAATACCTACCTTAGAGAGTTGATGTGAGGTTTAGATAATAGGATGTAGCTTATTCCAGGTGCCCAATATGGACCATGTAACTACGTTTTTTTTTCTCCTGTCTTGTCTTTTCTCTAGTCCATTTTTACGTTTTCCCTCCACTCCTTTCTTTAAACCTCTCTCCATCTTTCCATTAATTTTGTCCTCCTTACTTTACCCCCCTGTTTCTTTCCTCTCTTTCTTAGCTGTCCTTCCTTCAACCTCCTCTTCTTTCATGTCCTCCCTAGGAAAGTCTCCAGAGTTCATACTGTTGAAATTCTCACTCAAGAACATTTTTCCCCTTTTCCTCTTAAACAACTGCTATTCATTTAGAACCTTCACCCACCTCTAACCAATGTTTTCAAAATTTCCATTTTTAAACTTCTAGCTCCAGCAAGTAGTTTCCATTTTAGTACACTGCATTTGGTAGATATTCTTGGTATCTCAGGGTTGAGGGCAAACTGAAAATATTTCCTGGTCTATTAATTTTGTTCAAAGAAAAAGGAAGGAAGGACTGAAGGGAGCAATAAATCTCAAGCACTTTATGTACTCCTTCCCCCTTGTCGTTTCATCCACAAATAACTATAGCATGTATTTCTATAGGATAAAGACTTTTAAAAATAATCACATGTACTTTTTAAACAAGTACAAATATTGTATGTCAACAACAAAAAAATCTTATGTGACAATTGGGGAAATTTGAATGCTAACTGGATATTTAAGAATATTTAGATAGTACAAGCTCTGATAGACTTTCTTTTTTTCTGATAATCTAGTTCCAAAGTCTATGATTAGTTTTTTTCAAGATTCCTGATCTATTTGGTTTCAGAGTTACTTTGATTGCTAAGAATTACACACAAATAGTAAGGTTAGTCATTTTGGGCAAGATATCCAAAATGAGCTTCTGGGAAGCCCCCACTAGGTCAAAAGTAGATTTAGTTCATACACTCTACTTTGGTTTACTACTTGGAAGTCAGTCACTCCATTGGACAAAAATTAACCACAGGCTATCTCTGTGAAGCAGAGAAAATGTGCGGCTCAAGAGAGGCTGGATCCCACATGGTGATCACAGTTTGAATCCCTGTCCCAGTCAGTCTGAAACACACTAGGCGTGAGTGTGAGTGCCCAAGATCTGATGGGAGGGAGGACTAGAGGAAAGGGATCAGGATTTGATCAGACCCTATGGGGACTATGAGTAATTTTTGTTGTTGTTGTTGTTGTTGTTATTGTTTCTCTCTCTAACACACTCTATCATTAATTTTTTAAAAAAATGAATCACAGACTCTGATTCTAGGTAAAATGGAGTAAGGAAATTCACCCTTGTCTGTCGTACTAAATGCAGGTATAAAACCTATACATATGATTAGAGAAATTGTTTGAGTACTCTGAAAAGAAAATAGTGTCATGCAGAAGGTGGGCAAAGAGCAGAATTCAAAGTACCATCAACCAATTATGAATTTTCTATTTTTTTTTCTCTTGCATCTTCCAACCATAACTTGAAACAGCCTCCAAACCTAACAGTGGGTACTGCACATAGTGAAGAGAGCCTGAGGTAGTGCCTTCCCTGATTCTGAGTAAGTGTGGAGGGAAAGCCTCCATCTTTCTTTTTCTATTCTCTATTCTCTGATGACTTGGATCTAGTCAATCTCATGGTGGTTGAAACAACAGCAACGGCCATGGGAACAAGGAGAGAGGAACCAACCTCTCTGGTCAAAGGGTGTTATTTGTAAGAGTGTGGGGCAGACTATTGCTTTTGCTCTCTATGTTCTCTCACCACTTGACATAGGACACAGGTATGATCTCAGAGCATGGCAGGGTTAGTATAAAGTGTCAGCATTCTGGCCAGAGGACTAAAAAGGCAAGCCATTGTTGGAGTCTCAGACCTGGCAGCTTAAAACTCATGCTGAGCGCATGCACATGGATGCTCAAAATCCTGAGAGGAGAATGGAGAAGGGATTGTGGTGTGGCCATGCTCTCTGGGGGGTAATTTCTCACTTTCTAGCTCTCACTTTCTATCTCTGTCTCTCTGACAAGCACACATGCCCTATATAAAAAAATCTTTTTAAAAAACAAAAAGCAAAAAACAAAACTTCCTTGTTTACAAATCAATTCATTTAATGACCTAGTCTAGGAAGAAAATCTGGTCGATAAGTTATGAGGGCCTATATCTTATAAGTACTCTCTGGCTTGTATAGACTATAATCAGAAAACACGCTTTATACTTGCAAATCCTCTTCCAATTTGTCTAGATTTGTTTTATAGTCTAGAATGTTAATCACATGTACTTTTTAAACAAGTACAAATATTGTATGTCAACAACAAAAAAATCTTATGTGACAATTGGGGAAATTTGAATGCTAACTGGATATTTAAGAATATTTAGATAGTA